AGCCAACTTCTGACTCAATCGATCTCACTATCGATCTCACTCAACGGGACACCACGGGACACCACGGGACACTCGTCGATCTCATTATCGATATCACTATCGATCTCACTCAACGGGACACCACGAGACACCACGGGACACCACGGGACACCGCGGGTCACCTCTCGATCTCACTATCGGTCTCACTATCGATCTCACTATCGATCTCACTCAACAGGACACCATAGGACACCACGGGACACCACGGGACACCTCGGGACACCACATCGATCTCAGTATTGATCTCACTGTCGATCTCACTATCGATCTCACTCAACGGGACACCACGGGACACCACGGGACACCACGGGACACCTGTCGATCTCATTACCGATTGCACTATCGATCTCACTTTTTGGAACACCACGGGACACCACGGGACACCTCGGGGCACCACATCGATCTCAGTATCGATCTCACTATCGATCTCGCTCAACGGGACACCACGGGACACCTGTCGATCTCACTATCGATCTCACTTTTTGGTACACCATGGGACACCACGAAACAGCTCGGGGCACCACATCGATCTCAGTGTCGATCTCAGTATCGATCTCAGTATCGATCTCACTATCGATCTCACTCAACGGGGCACCACGGGACACCACGGGACACCACGGAACACCACGGCACTCCGCGGGACACCGCGAGCCACCGCCAGACGGGCGGGCGGGGTAGAATCATTTGTCTTGACTTCGCCCTAGTAACGGCGGACACCACGGGACACCACGGGACACCGCGGGACACCGCGGGACACCGTGGGCCACCGCCGGACGGGCGGGAGGGGGAGAATCATTTGTCTCGATTTCGCTCTAGCAACGGTGGGTTCATTCCTCTCGCGCGCCCACGCAGCTTCGCCTCGCCCGCACGCACGACACAAACGAAACGAAACGATTTCCCGGTTGGGGGTCTCCGTTCCATTGCAATCTCACCCCCCAACCACGGATCCTGGCGAAGGATCCAACCATGTGCAGTTGTGAGTACGGCAGCTGTGAGTATCGCTTTCGGTGGCACTCCCTATGGAGCCACGATCTGTGTGAGGGGTGTGCCGATATATGTGGCGGGGGCGCATGCGAACACCGCCACTGAGGCCTTCGCTGGAGCTCCTTATGGGGCCACGAAACGTGTGAGGGATGTACCGAGATCGGTTGCGGGGAGGCATGTGGACACTTCACTGGGACTTTCGGAGCTGCTCCCTACGGGGTCACGAAAAGTGTAAGGGGTGTGCCGAAATTGGTGGCGAGGACGCATGTGGACACCGCCAGTGGGGCCTTCGGTTGAGCTTCCCTATGCTGCCACGAAGCGTGTGAGGGGTGTGCGGAATGGGTGGCGGGGACGCGTGCGAACACTGCCACTGGGGCCTTCGGTGGAGCTCCCTGTGGGGCCTCGAATCGTGTGAGGGGTGTGTCGAAATTGGTGGTGGGGACGCATGCGAACACCGCCACAGGGGCCTTCGGTGGAGCTCCGTATGTGGCCACGAAGCGTGTGAGGGGGTGTGTCGAAGTAAGGGGCGGGGACGCATGTGGACACCGCCACTGGGGCCTTCGCTGGAGCTTCCCTATGGGCCACGAAGCGAGAGGGGTGTGCCGAAATGGATGGCGGGTGCGCATGCGAACGCCGCCATTGGGGCCTTCGGTGGAGCTCCCAATAGGGCCACGATACGCGTGAGGGGTGTGCCGAAATGGGAGGCGGGGGCGCATGCGGGCACCGCCAGTGGATCCTTCGGTTGAGCTCCCCATGAGTTCGCGAAACGTGTGAGGGGTGTGCCGAAATGGGTAGCGGGGACGCATGTGGACACCGCCACAGGGGCTTTCGATGGAGCTTCCTTATGCGGCCACGAAGCGTGTGAGGGGTGCGCCGAATGTGTGGCGGGGACGCATTTGGACACCGCCATTGGGGCCTTCAGTGGAGTTTCCTACGTGGCCACGAAGCGTGTGAGGGGTGTGCCGAACTGGGTGGCGAGTACGCATGTGGATACCGTCATTGGGGTCTTCGGTGGAGCTCCCTTGTGGGGCCACGAAGCGTGTGAGGTGTGCCGAAATGACGGGCGGGGACGCATGTGGACACCGCCAGTGGGGCCTTCGGTGAGTTCCCAGTGGGGCCACGAAACGTGTGAGGGGTGTGCCAACATGGGAGGGAGGAGGGGGAGGAGGAGGAGGAGGAGGAGGAGGAGGAGGATGAGGGAGGAGGGGGAGGATGATGAGGAGGAGGATGAAGAGGAGGAGGAGGAGGAGGAGGAGAGGAGAGGAGAGGAGAGGAGATGAGGGACGTGGGGCGCTCTGTCTTCAACACGAGGACCTCACACCGCAGGATGGCTGGGAACAAGTTCGCGTCTTGGTGCTGAAATCGCTCTAGATACCTACGTCGGGAACTTTTGGACAGCATGTCGCTCCGCCGGTTCGGGCCCACCGCGCTTGGGCGAGACACGCTGTCCTCTTCTTTCCAGTTTCCGGGCTTCGAGGTCCCGAGCCTCTCCGAGCCTCCCGCCCCGCGGAGCGGAGCGACACGCTATCCGCTTGCAGGGCATAGCGCGTCGCCGGAGCCGCGGCGATACGCGAAGCAAAAGTGCCCGACCGCATTGCGCAGCCCGTTCGCCGCGGCCGCTGCGCTGCCGTCGAGCAGCCCGTGCGCTGCGCGGCTAGCGCGCGGTCGTCCGACGGCGAGGGCCCATGCCGCCATCGCGGGCCAGGCGGCGAGGGCCCGCCGCGCCGCCTTCGAGCAGACTCGGCGACGTCGACGGCGGGACGACTGGCGCGAGCGGCGGCTCTCCCAAACAGGGAAGCAGCCAGGAATCTTTGCTCCACGAAGCGAAGTTCACGATGCTAGCTAAGAGTTCGGGTCCTCCCCGAGCCTGGGATCAGAGGCCAGCAACATATGTACACGTACGCGGATAGCTTCCCCCGGAGGGCATTTGAACGAGGACGTTCGTGCACTCAAGATCGCGGAGGGCGTACATGTACATATGTCGTTGCTCGCTCATGGGAGGAGGAGGAGGAGGAGGAGGAGGAGGAGGAGGAGGAGGAGGAGGAGGAGGAGGAGGAGGAGGAGGAGGAGTAGGAGGAGGAGGAGGAGCGCAGCGCCTCTCGAGCGTCTCCCGCCGTCCGCGCTGGCGCGCGCCCGACGGACTTCGCCGAGGCGCCCTCACGCTACGATGGCGGAGAGGGCAAGGTTGAAGAATGGAGTGGCGATCGCTGCTGGCGAACACCGTGTGGGGGGAGGTGGGGAGGGACGGCGGTCCTGCAACGCTATGCGGCGAGACCCCCTACCGTCCCCCACTGCCACCACCTCCCGCCCCCGCCAGCGGCAGCGCCTCCAGGAAGTCCAGGCGAAAGTCCATGGGCTCGGCGGCGGGGTCGTCCGTATCGAAGCGGACGGAGGCATAGCTCTCCCCGGCGGCCGCGACGGTCGCCTCGAGACCCGCCAAGGGGCCTCGGCAGAGCCGCGCCCGCACGTCGGGGGCGAGGGCGGGCGGGCGTCCAGGGCCGCGGCGGCCAGACAGCACCATGAGGCCATCCGCCCACTCATCGTTCAGCTCATCCTCGAAAGCGTCCTGACCAGCAGCAGGTTCAGCAACGACACCAACGAGAGGTAGGCCCACAGGGGCAGGCTGTGGGCGGCACCGCCGCCGCCGCTGCCTGCGACCGCCCCCCGTGGCGTCCTCCATCACGTGGTCCCCAACCGCCTCGCCGCCGCCAGCACGATCTTCATCGGCCGCAGCACCACCGCGGCCCGCAGCACCACCGCCACGGCCTCCGCGCCGCAGGCGGCTGGGCGGCAGGGCTCCGCAAACCCGCCACAGCCGCGCGCACAAGGCCCTCCGCGGCGCGCAGCAGGCGCACTCTATCGTGGGAGTGCCCTGCTGCCTGCCCCGCGGCCGCATGCGCCGCGAGGAGGGCCCCGGGGCCGCCTCCTCGGCGCGGCGCAGGCCGGCGGCCTTCGGCGAGAGCGAACCCGGCATCGGCCACGCGGCGAGCGTGCCGAGGGCGCGGCCCAGCGGCACGGGGCGGGAGCCAAGACGGTTCTGTAGGAGGAGGAGGAGGAGGAGGAGGAGGAGGAGGAGGAGGAGGAGGAGGAGGAGGAGGAGGAGGAGGAGGAGGAGGAGGAGGAGGAGGAGGAGGAGGAGGGCACCAAGTGTGCACCTGACGGCAAAGCTGATGGTAAGGACGCACGGCTGTCCATAGAGTACCCTTTTGCGTCCTTGCCGCGGCGGCCCGTCCATGTGGCAGGGACGAGGGTGGGCTAGGGCGGCTATGGTACCCTTCGGCGCCAACTTCGGCGTCCGAGGCCCTTACGACCTCACCGTGAATCCTTACTGCAGATCTAACGAAACCACCTCGCAAACAAATGCAGAAACGCAACCGAATCCAACTGGGCCCTATACCTCCTACTCCCCTTCGGACCCCTTGAGACAGACGAAAGTCCAATGCCATTTGGTCTTCAGCTTGTGGACACTCCTGGTATGATCGATCTGCCGGCGAGCAGCTCTGGCGCTTCCCACGACAGAGGCTACAATTTCGTTGAGGCGGTGCGCTGGTGGGCCAAGCGTTCTGACCTTATCCTGCTCTTCTTCGACCCGGACAAGCCAGGCACCACGGGCGAGACGCTGGAGGTGTTGACTACTTCTTTGGATGGGCTCAGCCACAAGCTATTGATCGTTCTAAACAAGGTGGATCAGCTGGACAACGTGGTGGACTTCGCAAGGGCCTACGGTGCTCTTGGCTGGGCGCTATCCAAAGTCATCAAGTGGAAGGACGTTCCCCAGGTCAGGAGGGGGAGGAGGGGGAGGAGGAGGAGTAGGATGCTTAGATGATGATGATGATGATGATGATGATGATGATGATGATGATGATGATGATGATGATGATGATGATGATGATGATGATGATGATGCTGATGCTGATGATGATGATGATGATGATGATGATGATGATGATGATGATGATGATCGTGAGGAGGAGGATGGTGATGCTGCTGCTGCTGATGATTATGATGATGCTGATGAGGAGGATGAGGATGAGGAGGAGGAGGAGGATGAGGAGGAGGAGCAGGATGATGCTGCTGCTGACGATGATGCTCATGATGATGCTGCTCATGATGATGATGATGATGATGATGATGATGATGATGATGAGGATGATGATGATGATGATGATGATGATGATGATGCTGACGATGATGATGATGATGATGATGATGATGATGATGATGCTGATGATGATGCTGCTGATGACGGTGATGATGATGATGCTGATGATGGTGATGATGCTGCTGCTGCTGATGATGATGATGATGCTGATGATGCTCATGATGCTGCTGCTGATGATGATGCTGATGGTGCTGATGAAAAAAATGAGGACGATTATGATGACGATGATGATGCTACTTATGATGGTGATGATGATGCTGATGCTTCTGACGATGAGGACGACGACGGTGATGATGGCGAGGATGACGATGATGGTGATGGTGACGGTGACGATTACGATGACGATGACAATGATGCTGATGATGTTGATGATGATGTTGACGACGATGATAATGATGATGACGACGATGATACTATATACTGATAATGATGATGCGGATGATGCGGATGCTGATGATGATGCTGATACTGATGCTGCTGATGATGATGATGAGGATGATGATGATGAGGATGAGGAGGATTAGGAGGATGAGGAGGAGGAGGAGGAGGAGGAGGAGGAGGAGGAGGAGGAGGAGGAGCAGGAGCAGGAGAAGGAGGATGAGGAAGAGGGTAATGATGACGATGGTGATGATGATGCAGATGCTGATGCTGATGATGCTGATGCTGCTGCTGCTGGTGATGATGAAGATGGTTCTGATGATGATGCTGATGCTGATGGTAGTGATGCTGATGATGTTGCTGCTGCTGATGATGATGATGAGGATTATGGTGAGGATGAGGATGATGATGCTGACGATGATGATGCTGCTGCTGATGATGATGATGATGACGATTCTGCTGCTGCAGATGATGACGACGATGTTTATGATGATGCTGATGCTGACGATGATGCTGCTGCTGATGCTGATGAGGCTGATGATGCTGATGATGCTGATTATCATCATGATGCTGATTATGATGAGGAGGAGGAGGAGGAGCAGGAGGAGGAGCAGGAGGAGGAGGCGGAGGCGGAGGAGGAGGAGGAGGAGGAGGAGGAGGAGGAGGAGAAGGAGGAGGCGTAGGAGGATAGTCGAATGCAGAAGAGGGCGCGAGTCAGGTTTGCGCCCCCCCCTCTCCGCCCACCGAGCTCGGCGGGCCCCGTTCCTCAGAGTTCTAGGAAAGAGCCAGGCCTTGGGACCTCACATCCTTGCCCACGCCCAGACCACTAGCACTCCTTGCCAGGAAGAGGAGGAGGAGGAGAAGGAGGAGGAGAAACATATTCCCTTCGGCTCGTCTCTTGCTCGCCAGCTCGCTGCCGAGTCAAAGTTGATAATCCGAGTCCTTTTCCTGTAGCCCTGAAGCCCTTGCCCCTGACTGGAAGGCAGGTTTTTGTCAGGCGCGAGCGTGCGCGCGCGCACTACACATACGCACACACACACACACACTTTCTGGCGTCGCAGCGGCGTGGGCATCGACGCGGACTAGTCGGGCAGTAAGCGCGCCGCGCACACGTGCCACTCGTGCCGCACGCGCACGGAGCATATCCACTCGCGCACAACAAGGGCGGGCCTCCTACCTATACGCCGTGCGCGTCGTGTCTGGGACGTGGCGACGGTCCGTCCGAGGCCCGGCGAGCAAGCTGCAGCAAGAGCTGCCTTCCCCGAGCCCTGGCTCGCCCGCGCGAGGCCGGGGAGCGGGGCCGCGCCAGGGATGCCGGCCTTGAGCCCGCCGGCCGCCCCCATGGCACGCCGAGCGCGCGCTGCCCGGCGAGTGCACCAGCAGCGCGGCGAGCTCCTCTCGGCCACGCGCAGAGGGGGGAAGGGCTGCTCAGAAGCACCCCTGCTTCTCAGAAGGCGCGGGTCTTCCCTGTGCATGTAAGGCCGGCGCCTTCTAAGAAGCAGCCCCCTTCTAAGAAGCCTTCCTTCCCCCCTCCCCCTACCTCCTTCTGCGCGCCGCCAATCCTCAAGGGCCATCCGTCCAGGGACATCTCCTGGCGCATTTGGTTCTCCGACCTTCGGGGGTCGATGATCCTCAGGACGTGTGTTAGCCCAATTGTGTGTTAATCCCGTTCGGCCTGTGTCGGCCATCGTTGCGCCACGTGCGTCGTATTGAAGGGCTTCGATGGACCAGCACACGTTGGCGCTAACACACGTTCTGAGGATCATCGAGGGGGCCTCCAAACGGTGTGGTGACCACACCGTGGGGTGAGTCTCGGTGGAGATTCGGGGTCACCGCACGGTTTCGGGGCTCGAGAGCCGTGCTCTGAGGATGCCTCTCGGGGGACCTGGGGCTTCCGAGGGCCCAAGACCGGTGGCGGTGAGGTCGTGGATTTCGAGGTCACCGCCGGGTCTGTCACCGCTGAGGCCCCCGAGGCCTGATGATCGCGTGGGCTGCGCTGCTGCCAGGTGCCACGTCGGTGATGCTGTGCTCCGTGCCCGGCGCGCCGGCGACGGCCAGGAGCGCCTGGTGGACCTCGGGCTGAGCTCCCACGACGAGCGAGCGCACTGGGAACAAGTTGGGCACCTCCTCGTCCTCCTCGCAGCCGTCCTCGGATCCGATTCGAACCGCTGCATCGGAGCGAATGTGACACGGCATTCGGGGGGTGACCAGTGACCGCGGCCTGCCTCTGCTGCTCCCCGCGTCGACGCGCGGGTGGCGCTCGCCCCAGGCCTGCGTGGTCTTGCGACAGCTCGCCAGACGTGTGCCTCATCCTTTCCAACGGCAGGCTATGTTGTACAAACTATTTTGTACAATGTACGTGGTGAAATTTATGCCATTCAATTTATGCGGTGCAATATATGATGTGCAACAGATGTGGCGCAATCTATGCGGAACAATCTTTGTTGTGCAACCTGTGTTTGGCAAAACAATGCAACGCAAATCAATGCAAAACACTGCAAAGCAAGGCAAATATGCAGAGTAATCCAGACGCCCTGCGGCAACGAGGCGGCGACGAAGCTGCGACGGTGACAACAAGCGCGGCGACCGGCAGACAGGCCCAGTTACAGGCGGCGACGAGGCGGCGACAGGGCGGCGACGGCGACAACACAGTCGCCAGACAGACAGACAGGCCCAGTTCCTTCGAAGATAAGTGATAGCCCCTAGTTTCAAACAACGTTTGGGGAAAATCTGTAAATCTCCAGGGGAATTTGGAGTAAGTCGTGGACGTTCCATTGCGAGTCGATAGGCCATAGATGTCGGTATGCGCTTGACGAGACATGCGTCACAAGGACACGTTCCGCGCGGGGCATCCGCGGAAAAACGCCCCGCATCCGCGGGGTCGCGGCCAATGGGATTGGCCCGCGAAGCCGCCGATCGATACACATGTTTTTTGCCGACGACGGGGGTGGCCGCGACTGCCACCCCGCGTGCGGCGCCCTCCTGGCGGACGGCAGGCCGCAGACAGCGCCGCGTCCGCCTCCAGCTCCATGGGAGAAGCCCGCGAGGACCAAACTGGGAACGCCCCGTGAGATACTCGCTGCCGCCCCAGCGTGGCCCCATCCGCCAAAATGGCAGCAGAGACGGGGACGCAGTGATTCATACGGTGTTATGGGTCTGGTACGTTATGGTGACGAGGACGAGTCCAGGTCTACACTGTGTTTAACGAGGGCTTCGACGACGGCTTGCGCGACGCGTGCTCGAAGCTCCCAGTCGAGGCCTTTGCGAAGAGGCGGGAGGAGGTCGTGAGCGAGGTGTTGCGCGTGCCGGAGCGCCACGGCGACAACATCATCACCGCGCTGGAGGAGCCGAATGACGGTCTTCCTGCAGACGACCCTCAGTAGCTTTACGCGTGAGGCGTTCGAGAGAAAGCCATGCCTTCGAGGGTCGAATGAAATGGCATCCCTTCCTCGGCGGAAGGCGGCGGAAGGTCACAGGAAGGAAAACGGGTGAGGCTCCGCCGGCGGAAGCCGGCGGAAGGAAAAGGTGCGCTCCCAAGAGATGGTAGCATCGTTGGTTTCAGGGTTTCGGGAACCCGCCACGTGTCGGACGGGGCTAGGACGAGGCCAAATCCGTTCCGCAGCGCTCCCGAACGCTCTCAGAGCGTTCTGGAACGCCCTGAGAAGGCCGCGACGCCCGAGAGATCCTCCGGAGCCGCCGGGTCTCCCAGACCCCCGTCGTCATGATTTTTTCATAACGCCTACCCTCATAGGTCTCGACCGTACTATTACTACTATTACTACTGCTGCTGCTACTGCTGCTACTACTACTACTGCTACTACTACTGCTACTACTACTACTACTACTACTACTACTACTACTGCTACTGCTAATAGTAGTAGTAGTAGTAGTAGTAGTAGTAGTAGTAGTAGTACTACTACTACTACACGCTAGTAGTAGTAGTAGTAGTAGTAGTAGTAGTAGTAGTAGTACTACTATCACAACGACTGCTACTACGACTACTACTGCTACTGCTACTACTACTACTACTACTACTACTACTGCTGCTACTACTACTACTACTACTACTATCACTACCTACTACGAATACGACTACTACTACTACTCCTGCTGCTGTTGCTATTACTACTACTACTTCTGATACTGATACTGATACTACTACTACTACTGCTGCTACTACTACTGATACTACTACAACAACTATTACTACTACTACTGCTGCTACTACTGCTACTACTGCTACTACTACTACTACTGTTACTACACCTACTACTACTACTGCTGCTGCTGCTGCTACTACTACTACTCTGCCACTATACTACCACTACCACTACTACCACCACTACTACTACTGCTACTACTACTACTACTACTACTACTACTACTACTACTACTACTACTACTACTACTACTACTACTACTACTACTACTACTACTACTACTACTACTACTACCTACTACGAATACGACTACTACTACTACTACTACTACTCCTGCTGCTGTTGCTATTACTATTACTACTACTGATACTGATACTGATACTACTACTGCTGCTACTACTACTGATACTACTACAACAACTATTACTACTACTACTGCTGCTACTACTGCTACTACTGCTACTACTACTGCTACTACTACTGTTACTACACCTACTACTACTACTACTACTACTACTACTACTACTACTACTACTACTACTACTACTACTACTACTACTACTACTACTACTACTACTACTAATCCTTCTACTACTACTACTACTACTACTACTACTACTACTACTACTACTACTACTACTACTACTACTACTACTACTACTCTACTAC